CTAGAAGCATCTGCCGGGAAGAACGTGCCACTGGCGAAAAAAACCTGCGGGGGAACTGTGCAAAAAACGCATCCTCGTCCGGCAGCTAGTACGCTTTCTACTAAGTTGCAATTTGTATATATGCAAAAACGCATAAAAACTCGGCTTGGCCTGGATTGGCCCGACTCGTCTCATACACAAGCCGCAAAAAATTTTTTCTCCCTATGGCAGGTAGGACTGTCCCACGACTGATGGCGGCAGTTTGAATGTGGAAGATGGAAGTGGGAGGTATTTGGTGGGTTTCCTTCGAGGCGTGGGAGGGGGCTAGGATAGATGGATGTGAAGGATAAATGACGTAGATCCTTTGCCGATTGACTAAGTAACGTACATTTGGAGGGAAGAGGGGGCGGTGAAGAACGGAAAGGATGAATAAGTGTGCTCCTGGTTTTTGCCGTAGCTTCTTTATTTATGAAATTGATGCTTAGGGGAAGTTGTTCTACAAAAAGTTATTTATGAAACTGTTCCTATCTATGAAACTGATGCTTAGGAAAAGCTGTTCCACAAAAATCCGTCATTAAGCTTCCCTATTTATGAAACTGATGCTTAGGAAAAGCTCTTCCACAAAAATCCGTCATTAAGCTTCTCTATTTATGAAACTTATGCTTAGGTAAGCTAAGAGCGAATAGGTTCCATGAAGTGGGCAAAAACAGGTTAGAATGGATGCCTGGGGATGAGGTCAGTCTTTGCTTCTGCGAGATTTTGAAGACAAAAAAAACAAAGGTATAGCTGTTGTGCACTGTTGCAGGCTGCAAGAGGTAACACTGTGGAATTGTCTGCAATTTTTGTGTAATCCAATTGGACTTATTTTCCCTCACCTTCACCTAAGCATAAGCTTCAGTAAATCCTGTCGAACTTATTTGCCCTCAGCTTCACCCAAACATAAACTTTATAAATGCGGGAACTGCTTACTGATGACGGGTTTTTGTAAGATAAATCCTACTCGCATAAGGTCAGTTTTTGTTTGCTTTTGATTTTTTTGCCTTTGGTTACAGGCTGCACTTTTTTGATTTTACTTTTCATTTTATTCACAAATTCAAGTCTATTTTAGTTTACTTTTCTTTGTAATGCCGTATTGGTTTATCTTGCTCTTTACTGCTATCTGCAGTTCTTGCTTCGAACTCCTGACTAACACCCTTCTTCCCCTCCTGTATCCTGTCCTCAATTCCTGCTTCCAGAGCACTGGGGCACCCACCACCTCCAACCACTGTCACCGTTTATCGTCCTGAACTCCTAACCAGCAACTTCATTCCTCCCTATTATCCTGGCCTCAACTGCGCCCTCTGAGGTGTACCTAGACAACTACTAACAAACACCCTCAACCACGTGATTCAGCCGCCAGACACTGGGCAGCGCTACCCAGCGCGTCTGGCAAAGTTCCAGCGAGCAGCGCCACGAAATAATGTTGGCAGAGATGATAGAGCGGAGCGCTGGAGGGCTAAAGTACCATAGATCATCAGCCGAGCCGAGTTTTTGTAATTGTCGGTATTTGCCATTGCCCGAGCGAACTGCGTTGTGTCATTGGACTTGCGGTAGAGGAAATGAGGTATTGAGGTGAGAGTTTTGTGGCAGTCACCAACTGGCCAGTGGCGACCAATTGCTGGTTGGGTTGTTTATGGCTTACCCGTGCAAGGGTTGCTTAGAATCAAACTATTGATGACCGTGGTTTCCCAACATATCTATTATCAGCAGTTGTTCGTTTTAGATGAATGAATCGTAGAGAGACTGGCAGAGTGGACAAACTTGCACGACAGTAGCGCTACTTTCCACTGTGCAGTGGCCGCGATTTTTCCTGTATGTGGTGGTTTTTTTGCAAAGGAATGAGAGCAGGAATTAGAAGGCGTTTGCATTGCACAATGTTTCACGATTTTTTACTGCTGTAAGTTGACTGCTATTTCCTGGAAGAGTGGTCTATCAGCGTGAATGCATCGCAGTGGACTGAAGGAGCGTCTGTTTTTTTTGCCCCCGAAACTGTTTCTCTGCGAGCCTAAAGTTGGCGTAGAACTCGGCCAAAGACAGCGTATTAATTGAAAGTGACAGGTCATTACTACCAGTAGGTGAATCCGGAAATACCTCTGCTGTGCGCACCGGGGGTATTTGGGGATGCCAGGGGAAGATTTTTTAGAAGCAAAACTACAGCTGCGCGCGTTGATCAGCAGCTATTCCTTGACTTTCCGAGGTCGATCTGAACGGCCGGCTAGAGGGAACTATTCCTTCTGTCCTGACATTTGGCGCACGCATTCCTTGTATTCGCTGAATTCGTGTGAATTTTTCCAAAACACCGTTGTATTCAAGCAAGTCGCCCTCCCAGTAGGCTTCTTGGGCAGCGGCAAGTGCCATTTGTTGAGCTACGGCTTACGATTGCCAGTAATTCGGATCGCCCCATTCTGCTCTCTGTCTCTTGTAAGCGGTGACTTTATTCAGCACGTTGTTATCCCTGAATCGTTCCTCGACCGCATTTTCCGCTTGTTGGAAGAAAGCAGACATTCGTTCGTGTCTCCAGAACAGCGTCTTCTCGGAGTTGCGCGCAACGCCTTGGTAATCGCAAGCATTTGGTAATTTACGGCCGAAACCTATCGGCGAAGTGCAGTGGAGCAGTTGTTTTCAGGTATGTGCGCATTTATGGTATCTCTTGGTGGTTATGCCAACACTGCTTCTCTTTGGTGCCTGTTTATGTCTTCCTAATACTGCAAGTATCCCATTGATTTTCAAAAAAGCACTGTGGTATTTCGGGACTGCTTTTTTATACGTTTGTGCTATGTAACAGCAGTACAAAACGCATATTGTCACGGGGTTGCCTGTGTGTGTGTGTGTGTCCGCAGCAACTTGTACGCATCTTTCAACTCGGGAACCACAAAAGCTTGGAAGCTGAAAATTTAGGGAAACGTTCCCTACCCACGTGTGACCCCGCAAATTTAAATTCAGCATCCCCGCACCCGCGGGTAATGCGTACGGCCCCGTGAAAGTTTTTTGCGGGTAAGTTAATATCTCGGGAACCACGGAGTCTAGGAGGCTGAAATTTTAGGGGAATGACCCTCTGCCCCCACTCAACCTTGTCCATTCAAATTCAGCGTTCTCGCGCTCTCGGGTACCACCTACGGCCTCGTGAAAATTTTGGCGGAAATCACGGAAAGATATTCGTCCTTCAAGGTTTCGAATTCAGCTTTCATGCGCTGGTGCGTGAAATTTATAACTATTTTCCAGTATTTGAACTATTTTTGCGCAGACTAAAGTGTAAAGCAGTGAAAGTCG